TATCATTTTGAGAATAACTGAATTTATGATAATAAATGTGGACATGGTAAAATTACCTATCTGCTGTACATGATTTATTTTCCTGATTTGTGTGTGTTTTAGTTTTATAATGTGCTTAGCAGAATTTTGAATCAGTTTTGAAATATAATAAGCTTGATGATGTCGTGTGCAAGAGAGTTACTTTGGGTGTATACAACCATACTGGGTTGTAGTAATTTGATTTAAGTGTTCCATATCAATTTGCAGAGAAAAGTTCTCCTAGAACCAGTTGTTTCTTGTTTAAGAAATCTATTCTTCAGTGACATGTGTTCACTATACAATAAAAAATGAATTTTTTTAGTGTCTGTAATGGAGAATACTACTTATGAAACCTTTGGGTTAAAAGTGAATCTAACTTTGTAGCCAAATATGTACCTGATATACATTTAAATAAAGAAAGGCTGAGTTCTGTGCTTGAAGACTTTATCAGAAACTAGCAAAAAGGAGCAAATTCAACTAAAATAAAATGGATAAAAAAATGAAAAGAAATCTTAAGAAAATGGATATATAAAGAAAACAAACAATAAAACTAAAGCTGATTCTGTTTAAAAACTGATAACCTTTGATAAACTTGATCAGGAATAAGGAGGAAAAATTGCAAAATAAAAAGCATAATTCCTGAGAATTTGGTCTTTTTACAGTAAGCATATAATAATTGTCAGAATAGTTGGACATCAACCCACAAAAATTTACTTGAAGCTGAGAAATTCAAAAGAAAATAGCAAACCGTCTGAAGGAAAATCTCAAAAATTCCACAGTATCGTATGTATTAAAGTATAAGATCATAATTTAATGCTTTCCCAAAATTTCCTTAGTGTCCAGAGCCTCCCTACTGAAACATATGAGCATTCAAGGCCATATTAACACTGATTCTTCAAACGCCTCCACAAAAATGGGCAAGCGGACAGCGAGTTATTTTATGTGAAGAGCCAAGGTCTGGCACCCATCGCCACAAAGTGATAGTAGAAAAGCAAACCCTTCCCTGTACTTTTCCTTCTGAAGGCTGCACAACGTTGTGATGAGGAGCTAGATGCAGCCAGATTTGGTTTCCTGAACATAATTCAACACTCATTTTCTTGGAAAATATAAATAAAATAAAGAAATAACTAAAAATGTAATACGTTGAACACCTTTTGATCATTTAGAAATAAAGAATGAGAATAACAACTCTTACAAAATTAAAAGTGGGAGAAAACTGTCCTAGTTCCATAAATAATATTTCCCAAATGCAAAACAGGCATCATATTTTGTTTGATGTGGAAAAAAGTGAGAAAAAGATTCTACATATGACTACTTCTGAAAGGGAAAAATTGTACCAGAAGAGCTCTTCTCTTTGAAACTTTGTTCTTTTTGAAACTGCCTAGCTCTGCAACTCTTCATGGCTCCATAACTCTCTTGATCCCTGTAGCCATGGGAGCATAACCATAAATGCAGGATGTCTGATTGTAACAAGCCCCCACCATCATTAATCTGGTCTTGTAACTGATGATCGCTAATCTAGACTTCTAACTGAGGGTCTCGCCCTGCTAGCTAACCAGAGAGCTTCCAGGCTGTTCTGTCTCACCTTTGTACCTCCTGCTTATGCATCATACAAAAGTGCTAGCCCGCAAGTACTAGCCACCTGGCTTTGCTAGTTGGGAGTGATCCCGGCCAGGACCTCAGGTGTAAGATAAAGCCGTCCGCTGCCTTCAGACGTCCGCCGTGTCGCTCCTTTCCTGGGCTCAGTTTTGCTGCAACACCTCACACTGGAAGACCTAGCGAGCACAATACTTCCATGGAAAGAAACCAGTTACAAAGGTCTCATGTAGGATTTAATATAAATAGCATTACACAATAATGTTAGGTTGTGTACATATACAATCCCAATGAATTAATGAATGCATAAGGTTGCAACTAAATAAAAGAGTTATGTTAAAATACTCTTAGAATTCACTCATGTAACATTCAAAGATGAAATTTATAAGATAATATTGATGAATTTTAAAATATGAAACGCTGATAAAATCTTTAAGTGTTTGAAAATATACTAGTACTGAATTAAAGGAAAGAGTTAACAAAAGTAAAACTGAAATAAGTAACTAGATAAAATGGGTTCATGTATGGAAGATTCAGTGAAGAAGAATCAGTATTTACCAAATTGATATACTGATTCTAGACAGTTGGAATCAGAATTCAATTATAATTTTGGTGAAAATTACAATTTTATGTAAAGTGATGGTTCATACGTTTCCTGACATGAGGTACTGCTGGTATTATCTGCTTCATTGAACTTATCGGGTTATGGTGATTTGTCAATAATTCCTTGCAGATTGAATGAGAAATCAGAACACTTACACAGATTTATTTTCCAGAAGGCAGTCCACTTTGTGAAAAGAGAGAACTGCATTTATGAATATACCAGATTAATAAAGAAAATAAAGTGTCATCTATGACGTCATAAATAAGATGGCCAGTATCAAGGAGTAACTCTTTCTTATGCAATATTTTTATGTATCTAAAAAAAAAAAAAAAAAAGAAATTTGCCTCAACTAACCATGAGCATCTTGGAGTGAGGGCTGGGACTAGGAAGGAAAAACTGAAACTACAGTGTTGATCATTTTAATTTCTCACTAGACATGGAACAGTGCACCATGTGTCCAGATCATCAGTACGCTAACACTCAGAGAAACCACTGTCTCCAAAAAGCTGTGACTTTTCTGGCTTATGAAGACCCCTTGGGAAAGACTCTGGCTGGCACCGCCCTGAGTCTCACTGTCCTCACAGCTGCTGTCCTTGGACTCTTTGTGAAGCACCGACACACTCCCATCGTCAAGGCCAACAATCGGGCTCTCAGCTACACCCTGCTCATCTCCCTCACCTGCTGCTTCCTCTGCTCCTTGCTCTTCATTGGCCGGCCCAGCACAGCCACCTGCATCCTGCAGCAGACCACATTTGCAGTCGTGTTCACTGTGGCTGTTTCCACTGTCTTGGCCAAAACCATTACTGTGGTGCTGGCCTTTAAGGTCACTGCCCCGGGCAGAAGGATGAGGCAGTTGCTGATATCAGGGGCACCAAACTCCATCATCCCCATCTGCTCCCTGATCCAGCTCACTCTCTGTGGAGTCTGGATGGGGACAAATCCACCCTACATTGACACAGATGCTCACTCTGAACATGGCCACATCCTCATCGTGTGCAACAAGGGCTCCCTCACTGCCTTCTACTGTGTGCTGGGATACCTGGGCTCCCTGGCCCTGGCTAGCTTCACCGTGGCTTTCCTGGCCAGGAACCTGCCCGACACATTCAATGAAGCCAAGTTCCTGACGTTCAGCATGCTGGTGTTCTGCAGTGTGTGGGTCACCTTCCTCCCCGTGTACCACAGCACCAAGGGGAAGGTCATGGTGGCCATGGAGGTCTCCTCCATCTTGGCCTCTGGTGCAGGACTGCTGGGCTGCATCTTTGCCCCCAAATGCTGCATTATTTTGTTAAGGCCAGAAAGAAATTATTTGCATGGATTTGGAGAGAAAGCACATTCTGGAAGAAAAGTGCCTTCTTGAATTAAAAGTATTACTTACTGAATGCATAAATATTCTGATACAATTCTACATGATTTTCCCAGTCAGATATTAGATTAGACTATTCAATTCACTTGAATAATCAAAGAAGAGTTTCTTTTTGGTATAAGGGCATTACATTTCTAGCACTTGTAGCAATTTCCTGTTTGATTTGAATTTTATTCTGCATTTTTTGTTCACTTACTTTGACTACAACCAATCTTATTTGTTATCTTCAATTTTGCTATGTTATTCAATTTATTTTGCTTCTTCTTGGCTGTTAGTTTTTTACTAATTTTAATATACTTTTTATATACAGGTCAATGTTCCTGAATCCCCTAATACATCTCATTGCTTTTCTCTTCCCATGACATATCATGACCTTAATGTGGTAATAGTATTATTTGGTAGCAGGTTTCACATTTACCTTTTGTAATATTCCTAAGGCTGTTTTGCTGAATTCCTCTCTCACGTGACCTTTAAATTTCTAGAATTGGTTGGTCATATGCACTAACAAATACTTGTGAATGTAACATGGCAAGGCATTGAGTTGACACATCCATTTTGGGAAGAACTAGAAACTGTGGAGAAGTGATTTTTTTTTCCATTTGTGATTTATATACCTTTCCATTTACTCTGAATTAATACTTTAGTAATAGGAGACATTATTCTGTATGTATGTCTTATCTGGTACTCATTATGAATACACACAAATGATATATATGAAACCGTTTTCCTGTCATATTTCTCCCTGGATAATAGTTTGGATTTTTTATAATGTTTACATGGTGAATAGCCCACCAAACCATAGCCAAGGTGACACATTTTGTAGTGGCCACTGTTGACCTGTCTGCTGTGTCCTCACTGGTACTCAGACTTTGGCACAAATCATCCAGCCCTGGGCCCTGACAATACTGGGAGTGACTCACAAGGTTGCTAATAAGAATAAGATGACAATACATTCACATAAATTTTCCAAGATCCTTCTTTGACCCTGATTTTTGGTATTTAACACAGATCCATAGATAAACTGTAGCTTGGTAAGCAGGACATGCCAACTTTC